GCGTAATGGCTATGTCGCTGGACTCCCATGTAGTCGACCGCGGTTCGAGTCCCGGATCCAGTGGCTTAAACTCACGCCGGGCACGTGTGCGTGCGTGCCCAAGATCCCCAGAGGAGAATGGAGGAGAAAGGGATTGCGGCGTGGCCATCCCCCCTGGGGGATGATTTCTCGCTTTCTATCTCTCTGTCTGTCTGGCGAGCGCATGTGCCCTATAACAAAAACCTCTCAAAAAAACAAAAAAAAACACACCAGGCATATGTGCATACATGTCCCCAAATCCTGATAAGATGGAGAAATGGACCATGCCCCACTGGGGGAGGCTTGTTCTCTATTTTTCTCTGGTGAGCTCACATGCCCTCTCACAATTCAAAAAAAAAAAAAAAAAGCTCTGAAAAACATTACTTCTTTTCATGTCCTACCTTACTCAGAAAAATAAAATGAGACAAGAATATAGTAAAATAAATTACATTAGGCATAAAAGAAAAACAGAAAGAAGAAAGAATGAGGCTAATTTAGCAAAGAAGTTTGCCATGAAAACCCTGCTACATTTACAGGTGGTTCTTTCCACTGCTAGAGGCAAACTTGACCCATTCATGGAGAGAGACCAGTTCATACATACTAATTACTCAGAAGAAATATTTTTATTGTTCTTGGATAAGATAGGAATCTCTCCCTTTCTCCCTCTCTTTCTTTCTTTTACTCTTTCTTTCTTTAAGAGAGATTTTTTGCTATAGGGCACATGCTAGAGAGACAGAGAGATAGGAAGTGAGAAATCACCCTCCAGGGAGGCTGGCCATGCTGAAATCCCTTCTCCTCCAGGAATTTTGGACATGCACACACACTTGCCCAGTCTGTTTCAAGCTGCCAGGTCTGGGATTTGAACCACAGTCAAGCCTGGGAGTCCAGCGACGTGACCATTACGTCATCTGCTGGTTCCAAGATAGGAATTTCTTAAAATCCTTATAACTGCTGATGTGTGGTAGATATAGAACACTGGCTCTTGGGGGAAAAAAAGTATGTATAAATATATGCACATAAATTTATTATAAATATTACTGATATAAAGAGTGTGTAGCACACAATTTTACAAATACACAATGCTCCTTATTGTAACTTCCATATAGCCAACTGATTCCCACAGGAAGCTGTGATTTTTGCTAAATTCTTGTATAGGTAGCAAGGTACAAATGTAGCTTAGTCATGATTTCCTTTGAAAATTTATGGTCAGTAAATGTGATATTTGAGGCCCGGCGTCAGTAATGCAGTATGTAAAACCCCACTGTGTGGTACTAGAGCCACATGGGAGGTCTGGGTTTGGACATGGGTTCCTCGTCAAGCTGAACGCACCTGTGATCCCGGCTGACTAGGAGGCCGAGGGTAGAATCATGGCACGGTGAGACCCTATCAAGGGTGCATCACTCTCTCTTGTTTTTGCTCTCTTATGAAAATAAATAAACTTAAAAAATGATATTTCACGTGAATGTTGGCTGACATTTTCATTTACATTAATGAGTGAAAGGAAAGTTAGACAGTATGTCAGAATCTCCTGCATTTATGAAAGTGAATGATGTCAGCAACTTCTTTGCTGAATTAGATAATATTGGGTCGTCAGGAAAATCATGACACATTTTTGCATAGAAAAACAGAAACATACATCATGACTCCCAACAACCTACTAGTTTCTCAATTCTGGGAGGCAATTTCATCAATTTTTATTCTATTTACAGTGAAAGAGTCTCAGACACAACAAACTTTGAAATTTCATCTAAATTATTAACATTTTCTCCCTCACTTTCTTAAATCTAAATCTGGATCTAGCTATCTGGCTCTTAGGCCAATTCTGGGCTGTGGCCTGATTTTGTATATTCTTTGAGCTGAGAATGATTTTTACATTCTTAAAGTGTAATAGAAAAAAGAAAAAGAAGACTATGCAATGGAGGCTGTGTGTATGCATAAACCATTTACTATACGTACTTTTGTAGAAAAAGTGGTCCTGGAAAAATCAACAAAACAAGAAGCAAGCTCTGACTAGCTAGGGATTCAAAATGTGATTGCCTTGTGGGATCCAGTTTTTCTTCAGAGGCATATTACTGCTGTGCCACAGAGCCAGTCCTATAATTTAATTTTTTAGTAGTAACTGTGTATAACAACTAGCTTGTATAATTCTTTTTTGGGGGTGGGGGGTTTGCTATAGGGCACATGAACTCACCAGAAAGACAGAGACAGAAGGGGAGAAATCACCCCTCGGGGGGATGGCCACAACACAATCCCCTCTCCTCCATTCTCCTCTCAGGATCTTGGGCACACAGCACATACGCCTGATGTGAATTTAAGCCACCGGGTCCAGGACTTGAACCACGGTAGAGTACATGGGAGTCCAGCTACATAGCCATTACACTATCTGCTGATCTCATTGTATAATTATTTTTAAAAATAATTATTTATTTAACTTTATTTATTATTAATATTTTTAAATTTGACCAGAGAGGGAGAGAGGGAAAGTAAGAAAGCCAGCCTCTAGGTCGGGGACTGAAACCACAGTTGGCCATGTGGGAGTCCAGTGCCTTAACCAGCATGCCACCTGCCAGCCCCTATAATTCTTGAAAATATAATAATTTACTTTTGAAATCTGTATGAGCCAGGTCCAACCCACCATTACACATGATTTTTTTTTTTTTGAGAGGTTTTTGCTATAGGGCATATGCCCTCACCAGAAAGACAGAGAGGGAGACACAAAGTGAGAAATCACCCCCCAACACACCCAGGGGGATGGCCACGCCTCAATCCCTTCTTCTCCATTCTCCTCTTGGGATCTTGGGCACACATGCACATGCACCTGGCGTGAGTTTAAGCCACCGGGTCCGGGACTCAAACTGTGGTTGACTATGTGGGAGACCAGCAACATAGCCATTACGCTATCTGCTAGTCCTGCCATTACAGATGACGTTTACAGATGTCCTCTGTGGCTGGGAAATCAGAAATCATGCAAAGTACAGATGAAAGGAAGATTTTACTTCCAGTTCTTACTGTTAGAACTATTGTGTGTTGGTCATGAAATATTTTAATGAGACTACGCTTTATCTTTGCAGTATGTTGAAAAGTTGGATATAATTGACCTCACACGCCTTACTGAACAGACTTCAACGGAAAAGAATTGTGCAAAATTCACCCTTATTTTGCCAAAAGAGGAAGTGCAACTGAAGGTGAGTGAGGAGAAACAGTAGTCTGTAAAGAATTATAGTTATAAATACCATTCACCTTTTCACAACCCAGTGGCTGAAGTAAAGAGGAATTTCCAAAGGGGCTAAGTCTTATATTTTGTTTATATTTTCTGGCTTTTGTCAAGAACTATAGTTTTCTGAACTGGGATTTAAAAAAGCCTGTTCACTTGTTTAGTATACAAGCATGATGAAACCATACACTTCTATCCTTTAACAAAGACAGGGATTCCACCTGGTGTTTTTTAAAGGCTGTTTTTGAATCCACATTGAAAGTGAGCCAATTAAAGTCAACTAAAAACTATAGTAATAACATTAGGAGAACAACCTGCACTTGAATTGATGTAATTGACACCACAAGGAGATTACTGATTGACCTTGAAAGCACTGGTCTTTACATTTTAGTATAATAGGAATCACCCGTACTTAGAAAGCCAGACCCCACACTCTAACTTAGCCCCAAATTCTACATTTTTTTTTTTAAGTGTAGGGACTGGCAGGTGGTATAGCTGTTGGGGCACTGGAGTTTCACATGATTGACCACGATTCGGTCCCAGACCCAAGGGCTTGAAAATCATGCCAGGGACGTGTGCGTGCATGCCCAAAATGTCAAGAGGAGAATGGAGGAGAAGGGATTGTGGTGTGGCCATTCTCCTGGGAGGTGATTTCTCATTTTCTCTGTCTCTCTGTGAGCGCATGTATCCTATAGGAAAACTCTCTCTCTCTCTAAAAAAAATAATGTTTATTTATTTAATTCATGAGAGTGCATACATATGCCCTTGACAGGGTCTTATCACACTATTGTCCTCTTCCCCTAGCCCTCCACTTGGCAGGATCTTGGGGAAACGCTTGTACATTCAACATAGTTCAGGTCTACCGGGCCAGGGATCTGAACTTGCTGTCAGCCACACTGCTTTCAGCACATTTCAGAACAATATCGGCTGTACCATTTAGGCTGGCCCCAGACTACATTTTAAGCAAGCTCCCTAGATGATTTTGGATGTGAAGTTTAAGAATTAAGTGCTGGGACCAGCAGTTAGCGCAATGGCTATGTCGCCAGACTCCCATGTAGTCGACTGTGGTTCAAGTCCCGGACCTGGCGTCTTAAACTCGCGCCACATGCCCAAGATCCTGAGAGGAGAATAGAGGAGAAGGGATTGTGGTGTGTCCATCCCCACCGAGGGTGATTTCTTGTTTTCTGTCTTCCTGTCTCTATCTATCTTTCTGGCGAGCGCATGCGCCCTATAGCAAAAACATCTCCCCCTCCCAAAAAAAAAAAAAGAAAAAGAAAAAAAAGAATCAGGTGCCTAGATTTATATTTGTACTGCTTTATTATCTGTGTGAATGTACACAAATTACTTAATCTCTCTGTGCTGCCTTTTTTTTTTTTTTTGAGAGGTTTTTGCTATAGAGCATGTGTGCTCGCCAGAAAGAGAGAGAGAGAGACAGAAAGCGAGAAATTACACCCCAGTGGGACTGGCCACGCCACAATCACTTCTCCTCCTTTCAGATCTTGGGCACGCACACACATGTGCCTGGCGGGTCTGGGACTTGAAGCATTGTCGACTACATGGGAGTCCAGTGACATAGCCATTACGCTAACTGCTCGTCCTTCTGTGCCTTCATTTCTTTGAATCCACAAAAAAGTCTTTACTCAGATGCCGAAAGGCAAAATTATAATGGATTCAGTTTAAACATCTTAATTGACTTTGCAATTCTAGAATTGGCAGTATCTCATCTTACAAAATATCAATAGGATGAGTGTCCCTGTGAGCTGTGCAGAGGAGATTGGTTTTAAAGATGGAAAAGGCCTGAGGAAAGCAGAAACAGAAAACAAGAAACATAACCTTTCAAGGTTATGTTTCTTATAAAGGTTAAAGCAGAGGGAATTTTCTTACCATGGTGGTTGAGGCTGGTCTGTTGGGGATTTGGCTGTTTTCCTGATTTCTTCAAAGGTCAGATAATTTAGTTTTGTGGGCCAGCAGGTGGCATGGTAGTTAAGACACTGGACTCTCACATAGCCGAACATTATTTGAGTCCGGACCTGGGTGGCTTACTTTCTCACTTTCCCTCTCACTCTCTCTCTGTGTCCCTCTCTGGTGAATTTAATAATGATAATAATAATAATAATAATAAAAAGAATTAAATATTTCCAACTGAATTTTTAAAACAATGTGCTTCAAAAGAAAATGTATTTTGTTAATCTTGCTGGCTTTTGATGTCTTATTTATTTTGAGCCCTATAAAATAATCATGAATACCTGTGCCCTGGCCAGTTGGGGCAGCACAGCCAGGTCCCAAGGTCTTCATACGTATGCTGGCATGCATGCATGGGCCTGTTACTCTGGCTGGCTGAGGCCAGAGTGGTGAATCATAGCATGATGAGCCTGTTGGGTGGCAATGGCTCTTTTTTTCTGTGTCTCTCTCACTCATGGGATAAATAATCTTTATTTTTAAAAAATTATTAAAGAATTATTTAATTTTATTTATCATCATTATTATTTTTAAAATTTACTACAGGGCATGTGTGTTCACCAGATAGAGAGTCAGAAAGAAAGAGAGAGAGAGAGACAGAGAGAGAGAGAGGGGGGCAGGAGAGAGAGAAGTGAGAAAGCAAGCTGCCAGGTCCAGGACTTGAACTGTGGTCAGCCATGTTGGAATCCAGCGCCTTAACTGCCATGCCACCTGCTGGTCCCTAGCTAAACATTTTTTTTTTTAAAGTTAGAGAATATTTTTTTAAAGTTATATAAAATTCTGAACTTATTTGTAAAAGTATTAATGCTTATAGTCTCTCATGTGTTTTCTTCTTTGTATTTATCTGTTTTTGTTTTTAGACAGAGAACACGGAAAGTGGGGAAGAATGGAGAGGCTTCATTCTTACAGTAACAGAGGTAGGAAGGTTATTACTTTGAGACGGATTAATTTATTCAAGAGGTATTTACTGATCCCTTGATGAACCATGCTGTGTGAAAGTGGCTGAAATTAAAGCAGTTGAAGGAAACAGATCTAAATCCTTGCACTCACTCATGAAAGTTATATTTTTATCAGATAGGTAGAGAGGGAGAAGGAAAGTAATTAGGTAGACAAAAAAACACGACATGGGGTCAGCAAGTGGCATGGTGGTTAGGGTGCTGGACTCCCACATGGTCGACCATGGTTTGACTCTTGGACCTGGAGGCTTGCTTTCTCACTTTTTCTCTCTCTCTTGTGAGTGCATGTGCCCTGTAGCAAGTTTTAAAATAAATAAACAAATAAACCAAAAGAAAATAAACAAGGCAATGTGCTAGCAAATAACAAGTATTCAGGGAGATCTAGTTTGGTCCTATCCCTTTGATACGATAGTTCTTTGCACATTCTGACATTCGTAGCTTACATTGCATCTTTTACAATACTTTTCAAATAATTTCTTTTCTATCTAGTACATATGTATAAAATGCGGAGATGGATTTTATGAATAATGTAGATGATACAGAAGAGAAATGAAAAATCACCTTTAAACGTTAGTTTAATGAGTCTTAAAACAAAGGGATACTTATCTGTCCAACTCTGTGGCATCTTATCAGAAACAAATAGTAAAATCTACTGCCTCAAGTTAACTGTTGCTGTGAGATAACTACTGTTATTTTAACTAAAGCCACATAGCAACTACATTGGAAACATGAGGTACTTTGATAACAAGCCATCTAAAGAGCACCAAGTTCTCTAACTCTTTAAAAAGATATGAAAACTTCTCATGTTTGTTTGGGTCAGTTTTTAGAGACTCTATCCAAAGCTAGTTTCTACATAAAGTTTTGCAATTGTGTGAAATAAGCACTGCACGTTATCAAGATGCTGAGCGCTGTTTCTTTATTTCAGCCAGTAACTGGCAAAAGATGAAATTTCATCTACGTACTAGAAAGAGACAGGAGGCTAGAAGCCAGCCAGTTAAGGACGTGAAGGGCATGCTGACTTGCAGGAGATGAAGGCAGAAACTCTTTCGGCCTTTATCTCTCTCTCTCTTTTTTTTTTTTTTTTGTAGAGGTCTCTTGAGGAAAGGCAACATTGCGTGGCACGGTGTTTCTTATCCTGGGTGCAAGTACTCCTAGGGTATGTGACTAGGTATCAAGGGTTACACTAAAACCACTGGAAAATTTGGTGCATTTTCCTGGTACACTAATTGTACTTATGTTCTGACCAAACATTGTGTTTTCACTTTTTTCCCCCTTAAGGTAAGGATACAATTATTTTTCTTTCTTTTTTTTTTTTTTTTTTTAGAGAGTTTTTTGGCTATCGGGCACATGCACTCACTGGAGACACAGAGAGAGAAAGTGAGAAATCACTACCTGGGTGGGTGGTGGTGGTGGCCACATCACAGTCCCTTCTCCTCTATTCTCCTCTATGGGTTTTGGGCATGCACAGCACATGCGTCTGGCATGAGTTTCAGGCTGCTGGATCCAGAATTCAAATAGTCGTCTGCCATATGGGAGTCTAGCGCCTTAACTACTATGCCACCTGCTGGTCCCACAAAGCGTTATTTTTACAGTAAAATCCACAAACATATATTACAGAAAAGAAAATAAAGTTTATGTGAATTTTCAAGAGAAGGTTACTTTCTGAGATTATGTGCTCTGTAAATGTTTTGTGCTATTGACCCAGATCACTGTGTGTGTATGTTCACACTGTGTTGTTGTTAGCAGAACCTTAATAGAAAGGCATGTAGAACACAGACTGTAGTTCAAAGAGATGAGACATTGTTTTCAAAGCAAAAAACCTGAGTTTGAGTCCTAGTTCCACAATGAATTAGCTGTGTGACCCTGGACCAGTTATTTAATCTTTTTTCACTTTGTTTATGTCTTCTTTTATTTATTTTTTTCATTTCTACGGTGGAAATAATCAGTAACTGTATTGTAGCATTGCTGTGAGGATTTGCAATGGCACATGTACAGTGCTTGAGATATAATAGGTAATTAATAATTGTTTCATTCATCTTTCTTCTAATTTTTTTTCCTGGTTTGGTATATAAGAAAATAGTTTTATTGGTTGTTAGCTTAGTTATCTAGAAGAATGTTTCTCTAATTTTTAAAATTATTTATTTATTTATTATTTTTAAAATTTGTTATGGGGCTCATGCACTCACTAGAGAGAGGGAAAATGAGAAAGGAAGTTGCCAGGTCTGGGACTTCAACTGCAGTGGGTCATGTGGGAGTCCAGTGCCTTAACGAATACGTTATCTGTTTTCTTTTTTGTTTTTTCTGGAGAGATTTTCACTATAGGGCACGTGCGCTCGCCAGACAGAGAGAGACATAGAGACAGAAAGTGAGAAATCACCCCCCAGGGGGGATGGTCACACTGCAATCCCTTCTCCTCCATTCTCCTCTCGGGATCTTGGGCATGCACACACACGCGCCCGGTGTGAGTTTTAAGCCACTGGGCCCAGGACACGAACCACGGTCGACTACATGGGAGTCCAGCGACATAGCCATTACGCTAACTGCTGGTTCCCCTAATACGTTATCTGTTGGCTTCACATTTTTTTTAAGAGTTTCTTTTGCTATAGGGCATGTGCACTCGCCAGACAGACAGAGATATAGAGAGAGAAAGTGAGAAATCACCCCCCAGGGGGGATGGCCATGCCGCAATCCCTTCTACTCCATTCTCCTCTCGGGATCTTGGGCACGCACGCACACGCGCCCTGTGACCTCACATTTTTTTATTATGTATCACTACTAAAATTTTCAATTTAAATTTAATATGTACACATATACATAATAAAATAAATAAGAAGAATTAATAAAATAGTAACTAAATAGAAAGTGCAGTTCTAATGTTTTCATATTCACTTTCTTATATACCCTCTGGAAAGCATACTCCCTGCTTCACTCTCAGAAATAAAGACATTAGGCAGACACGGCTATCCCTGAATACAAACTGGCTCATGTCACATATAGAAAAACATTCTACCATTCAGACTATACTTTCCAAGAGTGGACAGCTGGTCAGAATGAGGTCTAAATTGGGGATATGAATATAATTCAGAAGTTATATGTAAGTGACTCAATCCAAAACATATGCCTAGAAAAGAACAAAATGAACACTAAAAAGTAGAGAAGCATCATTCTAATGTGTGACTGAATGCTTGACACACACACACACACAACATACACCAAAATATAGACCTCTGATGGCATATCCTCGGTCATCTAATGAACAGTTCTGTCTCAACCCCATGTTGCTATCTGTCTGGTGAAGCTTATTCCAAGCTAATCTCAAGGGAGCAAGGCACCTCACAGGTGCTCTGGAACCTCCCTGACATTGATGGACTAGTGTGCACAGAATAAAAATGAGAAGTTTGTTGTTACCTGAATTAATGTACAGCACAAGGTGGGTATACATACTCTTCCAGACCAAAAGGAAGATTTTTTAGAAGAAAAGTGGTGTTGTAGTTGGTTTATAGGCAGTTCTAAGACACCCGTCCTAAAGCAAAATTTTCCTTTTTATGATTCTATCCCTCCATCTCTGTCAAGTAACTAAAGCTCATTAGTACCAGAACAGGCTAATCTTTACTAAGACCATTAAGTTGGGGCAGGCAGATGGCGTGGTGGTTAGGACACGACTCCTATGGCTGACCACAGTCTGGGTCCTAGACCTGGTGGCTTGCTTTCTCACATTCCCTTTCTATCTCTGATGAAATTAAAAAAAATAAAACTAACACATAAAATTAATTAAATAATACTTTAAAAAGCAAAAACCAAAACCATTAAGTTGTTTGGCTGCCTGTCTTGTCTGGCTACTATGTTACTTGATTTCAGCTGTCAGTTCCCCAACATGTGTCACTATTACCTGGACAAGTGATTAGACTGCATGAAGTGCTGGAGAAAGAAAAGAAAAGAAGGATTGAGACAGAGCTGCTACCGAATATACCTGTGGAAAAAGAGATGGAACCAACTGAGGATTATGTGGATGTTCTGAACCCTATGCCAGCGTGAGTGCACAGTGAAGCACTTTGTTCATTCAATTAATACTAATTTCTAATTATCAAGGAGAGTCAGCCACTTGACCTCATTAAGCCAGGGGCAGTAAGTGATCTTCGGGATTAAACTATGTATCTCTGAGTACATGCCACGTTTCCTCTTCTATGTTACAATCAACAAAATACAGATTTGAACCAACCCTCTCACCACACAGGAAATCCCCTTCCACCCACACCTTTAGACCAAGTAGACATTCTTTTCCAGAGCACTAACCCAAATAAAACTCCTCTGAAGAAAAAAGGAAAAGATACTTTTTCATCACACAATTTAACAGTATTTTCCTATTAGAGATTAAACCAAAGGGTTTTAAATACCTGGAATTGCTACTCAGTTGACCAATCAGTGGGTAGTAATTGAGTTTGTACTTTGAGGAGGGCCCTGTGTAAATTGTGTAAGGTATTGTTGGAAAAATGAAGAAGCAGAGAATATGCTAAATTTAGCAACATCCTGAATCTATCCTTTTCTCCTGGTACATTGGGGTTCTTGTCAGTGAAACTTGTCCTGGCACCAACTCAGACATCAATTCCCAATGCATCTCCTATCTGTACTCCAATCACTGAAAACTCCCAGCTATCACTTTCAGTTGAAACCAGTAACAACTCCGAGACTGACAGTTAAGTCACCAGACTGCTGCTTTTTCTTTATTTTTTTTCAATAAAACCAAAAGTATATGTTTATTATATACAAATAAAAAGATTAAAATAATTCCTTGTCCCACCACTCAGACATTTGCTATTAACATTTTGGTGTGTTACATATACTGCTAGTTTTTTTCTATGATTATATATTTCATTGACTACAGTATCTATTATAAAAATAGAAAGTGCTTTTTTGTTGTTGTTGGAGAGGTTTTTTTTGCTATAGGGCTTGTGTGCTTGGCAGAAAGACAGAGACAGAGAGACAGAAAGCAAGAAATCACCCACCCCCCTGGGGGCGGGGGTGGCCACTCCGCAATCCCTTCTCCTCCATTCTCCTCTCAAGATCTTGGGCACGCACGCACATGTGCCTGGCATGAGTTTAAGCCACTGGGTCCAGGACTCGAACCCAGTAGACTACATGGGATTTTGGTGACATAGCGATTACGCTAACTGCTGGTCCCAGAAAGTGTTTTTAAAAACATTTTGTGCATAAAAACACCACCAATGCCATAGGAAGATATATTCTACCAAAAGCAGTGAGTTCAAACATGTCCTTAAATATCAATTGTTTAAAAGAGAGACCATAGAAGAGAAACATTTAAAGATATTTTATATCCCTGAAGGATACTACCAACAAATACTTATCCAAGATCCTGTTTGTAAACTGAGATAGGATTCATGGTTAATTTTTGCCTTGGATTTTCAAATGATGATGCTGATTATATAGTGATTAGTAGGTAACTTTTCAAGTGTCCTTTGTTTAAAGAAGTTGTGGAGGACAGTCGGTGGCATGATGGTTAAGGCGACTAGATCCTACATGGCCAACTGTAAGGTTCAAGTTCTGGACCCAGTAGTTTGAAAAACATTCTGGGCACGTGTGTGTGCCTAAGGTCTTGAAAGGAGAAATGGGGGAGGGATGGCTGATCTCTCACAGGGCATGCTTTCTCACTTTCCCTCTCTTTCTGTATCTCTCCATCTCTCTCCAGTAAGTGCACATGACCTCTATCAAATTAAAAAATAAATAAAGAAGCTGTAGAAGAATAAGAAAAGGAGGACCTTATGTATTAGCATACTTATAATGGTATAAGTTAGTAATTATAGTAACAGTACTATATCATTATAATACAGTTATACATTATAATGTAATACTAAAGAGGGAAGTTTTTAAAAAGCTAACTGCAGCTCTTAAAAGCTATGTTGGTAGCATTTCTCTCAAGTGATGATCTTCATAGTTTAAAAAATTTTACTGTTTTTTATCTCATCTCTGTAGATGTTTTTATACTGTCTCCCGGAAAGAAGCCACTGAAATGCTCAAGAAGAACCCTTCACTGGGAAATATGATCCTGAGGCCTGGTAGTGACAGTAGAAACTACTCCATCACAATCCGGCAGGAGATAGAGTAGGTATAATTTAAACATGGGTGGAATTGTTTAAAGGATGGTATCACTTTAGAAAGCAAAGTCATGCACATTCAGGTCAGCCTCTGCACTACATTTTGTTGGGACTGAAATATGAACACAAGAATAGCGAGGAAATGTCCAATGAGAAATGCTAAAGATTGAGCCCCTTATATTTATACTAGGAAAAAAGAAAAATAAGTAAATGACTTTTCTCTTAAATATTGTTTACTGATTCAGTTCAACAAATATCTATCGGACAGCTACTGTGTACCAAGTTATACTTTAGACACTGAGGATGCAGCAGTGAAGAAGGCAGTATCTTTGGTTTTAAGGAGTTTACATCCTTGAAGCCTATATTTACAGATGTAAATAAATATATATTGTTTACAGAGTATAAATAATTGTATATCTCTATCTATCTATCTATAGTTATAAGTTCTAAGCAGTAAAATAAAGCAGGATGAGAGAATGGGAACCATCAGAGTTGATACAAAGAGAAAATTTTTGTGGTTGCTATTGTTTTAATATAATGTCCAAAAAGGCATATTTTGTTAACTGTCATTGAAACAGAGACCTGAAGATGGAAGAAACTATGCCAATATATGGAACAAGAGTGTTCCAAGGAGCAAGTACTTAAAGCCCAGAGGCAGGAGGACACTTGCTTGTTCAAAAGACAGAAAGAGGCTAGTTTAACTACTATAGAATGAGCAAAGTGGTAGGAGATGAGATCCTAAAAGTGGAGGAAGGGACAGATCACACAAGGTCCTATAGGTCATTACAGATTCAAGAGTTTACTCTGAAGGACATGCCGACCACTGGACTGCTGACATGACTTACTTATAAAAAGGTAAAATGGACCACTTAGGAGCCTTTTGTCAAGATTAGTAATTTCTGAGCTAGCAGATGGTGTAGCAGTTACATCACTGGATTCTTACATGGCCGACTGCAGTTCGAGTTCCGGACTTGGCAGCTTAAAACTCATGCCGAGTGCATGTGTGTGTGTGCCCATGACCCCAGGAGGAGAATGGTGAAGGAAATGTACTGTGGTCATCCTCCCTGGGGGGGGATTCCTTACTTTCCCTCTCACTATCGCTTTCTGCAGTGAGCACCCATGCAAAAACTTCTCAAAAAAAAAAAAAGAGATTAATAATTTCTTTCTGGTAAAATAGTTTACTTTTGACAAAAGTTAGTAACTACAGGTAAAACTAGATTTTTCTGTGTAGTTAGGGTAGTTGAAACTGTTAAGGGCCATTCAGGCTCTTTCAACAACTGATAATATAATTAAAATACAGAAGTTTATGTATTACATGACATTCAATAAATGAGTACCTTAATATAAAAGCTTATATGCTTTCATATAAAAGAAATTTGATTCTTGAGTTTGCTATTCTTTTGGAGGATATTTATTTCATTAAAACACTTTATTCTTTACTAAAACATATCTATCAATGAATCTACCAGTCCACTCAGTGACTATCTATAACTCTAAATAGATTGAATCTGAAGACATGGATACAGTAAAAAGAAACTAAAATCAGAGAGAAGAAAATAATCACTTGTAGAACAAAATTAGAATTATGGCATGATGGCTAAATTATCAGACCATGCTCAATAAGCTTCATTCACAAGCTTCATTCACTTGCCAATTACTCCATATAAACAGATATTAGTCTGCATCCTAGCTATATGCCCTGAACAGATGGGAATGCTAGATGGTAAATCAGATCTTGGTTCTGGGTGTAAGAGAATGTGTATGTGTATGTCTTTGTCTGTATCTTTTCTCAAAGATCGTCAGTTTTCATGTGGCTTCATTATTTGTTCTGTTTATTATAAGTTAACATTTGGAGTTAATGGATTTCCACCTAATACTGTAAAATATACTGGACTACTTAGTTATAATTTATATGATTTATCATTTAGAATTTTTGCCGTGGGGCAACTGCACTAGACACAGAGAGACAGACAGAGATGGTGAGAGGAAGTGATAAATCACCCCCAGGAGTTATGGCCATGCCACAATTTCTTCTCCTCTATTCTCCTCTCAGGATTTTGGGCACACACACTCATGCAGCTGGTGCGGTTTTCAACCCACTGGATCTTGGCCTTGAACCACAGTTGTCCATGTGGGAGTCCAGTGACGTAACTGCTAGACCATCTGCTGGTTCCAATGTTGCAGTTTTTACTTAACATTTATATTGTATTTAAGCTATGTTTTAAATTCCTAAGAGTCTGGCAAAAGAGTCATACTAAAGTTACCTAATTCTAATTTCCGTATGCTCAGATCTAGTTTGAATTCATATAGAAATTCTTGCTTTGCCTTCTGATGGTCATAAAAACTTAAAATACGTTATAAGACAAATTCCCTAACATACTCAAGTTCATGTTTAGAAAGCAAAAGGTGAAGTAGAATGATCAAATGTCAGCATTCTAACAGTGGAGTCAGTGAGTGCTTATTAGACTTTGGGAAATGACTTATACCTACAAGTGGCTAGAAAAACATTTAACTGTTAGTGCTCAAAATTTCCTTACAAGCCAAATGCATCTATACTAAGGGTAGTTTACATATATTCTCTTACGCCTCAAAATAGGCCTTTCAGAATGCTTAAAATTAATAGGCATTTTTGCACCTAACAGACTTTTAAAAAAGAATTATTTTATTTAATATTATTTATGTATTATTTTTAAAAAAATATTTAATTTTATTTATTATGATTTTTTAAAATGTGACCAGAGATAAAGAGGGAGAGGGAAAGTGAAAATGCAAGCGCCTTAACCACCATGCCACCTGCTGGTCCCCCACAGTAACTTAGTTTTAAAGGATAGCAATTTAGAGAGTTTTAGAATTTTAGCTTGCTGTGCTGTAGAGCTTAATGTAAAGAGTTTGATAGCAACCTAGATTATTAGGAAACACCTGTGTTACCCCCAAACACTCTCAGACACACAAACAATAATAATTCTTTTAAAACTTACAAAAGACATGTTCAGCCATGCAAGTTAGTTGCGTGTGTCTGGTAAAACACTAGTTGAAAGGACAAGTTGGTTTACCAAGCAGTATTTGAAAGTAAAGTTATCTCCATCTGTTTCTAGACCAGCTCTAGGAGGGGAGTCTGTTTTTCTCAAGAATAAAGTCATTCAGTGTCAATTCAAAGTCATATCAGGTGACCCCTCTGTTGGTGTGTAACATCATCCTCTTTATCAAGCCCAGTGATGTGTGAATTCACAAAACATAAAGCTATTCTTACAACAAACTTCATGGTTTTGTTTTGTTTTCTTGATATTGTTATGACTAGGTACTAAGCTAGTAACTTTAAGCAGTCAAGGATACAGTCAAAAATATTTACCCCAAATTTATTCCTTTGAAAAAACTGGGGTCAAAAGGTAAGAACTAGTACTTAAAACCACATTTAAGCCTACACATTTTTTAAAAAGAAAGACCTTTTTTTTTTTTCATTTTGAGGTCATAATCAGGAAACTTTAATATAGCACATTTGTTTAAAAAGTTTTCTTCCTTTTTCTTTACTTGGAAAAACAAAACATTAAAGAAAAAAAAAAGTCCTAAAGTAAGAGTCAAAAACCAAACAACTTCAATGGTATTTTTTTTTTTTTTCACCTCACTTTCTGCTTCAGAAGGTACTCTTGTTAGTAAGACGTTCCAAAACACCCTTTTTGGCCTTTGCCACTTTTCTTTATTATTTTTTAAAAAAAGCATTCTTAATTTAATTTATTCATTCATTTATTTTCATTTGACCAGAGAAAGACAGACACACAGAGAGAAGGAAAGTGAGAAAGCAAGCCACCAGGTCTGGGACTCACACCATGGTTGGCTATGTGAGAGGTTCCAGCGCCTTAACCAAGATACCACCTGCTGGCCCACCTTTGCCACTTTTCTGCCACACGGCTTTGGCACATGTGATGAAGATGACAGTGCGGTGTCTATTTCTAACAATGACAATCATCAACTCCCCCATACCCCACACACTCACAGTGTGCCATTTGTGGGCCCTGTGTTGAATGTGGGCAAACACTCCTTTAGGCACAATCAAAACTTTAAGACAGTATGTTCCATATTTTACAAAAAAGAGGCTGAGACTGATATACATTACCAAATTAAGACATTCAATTTCAAAGTAGTAAAAATTAATTACAATATACTGAATGGTTAAATGTGCCATACTGTACTAATAAGGGCTTTGCAAATGCTATCCCCCAATAGCCCTCTGAGATAAGGCATCACAATCTACACTTTACAAATGAAGAAATGGAGACTCAGAGATTCCAAATGGCAGAACCCAAATTTGAACCAACTTTTCTATCAGTCTTATAAAGAAAAAGTTATTTATTTAATAGGAATACAAGAATCCTAATTGAAATTGACATTTCAAAAGTAATTGTCAGATCCCAATGGGCTTTTCATGATGAGGGTAAAGATAAAGCCAGAGCCAGTAATCCCAAAGGGGTACTTTTAAGACCTTTTCTGTCCAAAAAATTTTTCCTGCACTAATTCCTGAAGTGCAGGTACCTAATTCCTGAAGTGTCAGCATTAGTTTTTTTTGTTTCGCTTTGTTTTGTTTGTTAAGGAGGAGAGAGTGTTGCTTAGGTTTTTATCCCGTGTTTTGAAAGCAGGCCACTGGAATGAATTGATTACCTGTTTTCTGATGTGGTATCCAACTGCGAGAAGATCTGGATATAATGGTGGGTGAAGTCTCCTGAGTAAAAGACTTTTGTGTAGTTTAGTCTTAAAGGAATATAAACTGTAAATGAAGAAGGAAGTGATTAAAAAAAAAAAGAGTTGGAGGACCTATAAACCACCTTAATTTGATGAACGATTTTGTTTTAGAAAGCTTCTATACATAGGATGAATTAGTTTCCCATTCAAGCTAATGATAATGTAATAAATGCTGTTGGGTGGGTCCCATAGTTTAGGGGCAAAGGGGGCCAGATCTTACATGTGTGACTGCTTCAAATCCTGGCCCTGACGACTTGAGAAACACACCAACCTCCTAGGCGTGTGTGCCTCAAATCCTGACAGGGAAGAGTAGGAATTGCAGCATGACTATGTCCCACTGGGAGGTACTTTTTTCCCTCTCTTTCTGTCTCTCTGGTGAGCACACATACCCTATGGCAGTTAAAAATAAATGCTATTAACTTTCTAACATTAGCCGAAGTTTTGGTACTATTACTCTTTTCAAATGAATTAAGGGAATTCAAGACAAAGATGGTGTTGTTCAAAACTACCTGGAATTGGGACCAGCAGTTCTATGTTGCTGGACTCCCATGTAGTTGACCGCGGTTCAAGTCCCGGACCCGGTGGCTTAAACTCACGCCGGGCACGTGTGTGTGCGTGCCCAAGATCCCGAGAGGAGAATGGAGGAGAAGGGATTGTAGCATGACCATCCCCCCGGGGGGGTGATTTCTCACTTTTTGTGTCTCTCTCTCTGTCTCTCTGGCGAGTGCACGTGCCCTATAGCAAAAACCTCTCCAAAACAAAAACAAAAACAAAAACGAAAAACAAAAAACTAACTGTAATGATCACTGACTTCTGCTTTTGGTATAAATTAATTTAGATCTAGCAGATAGCACTATAAATTGGTGTTCTTTATCTATCTATATATATAAATTTAATTTAATATTTTTCTCTGAGAGAGAGAGAGAGAGAGACAGTTCTAGCAGACTATTCATGCTATGATCTTTCTCCCAGCCCGGCAGCCAGCCACAATTGCTATGCACCTGGCATATTCAAGTAGATACCAAAAGGGAACCTAGAGTCTTGCTTAGGTTTCTAGCATATGGCTTCCAGCATCAAGTATCTGTGTCCCTACTGCTTATATCATCACTGGGCTGAGCCCTACATTAAAAATATTCTGTTTCACAAGTATTTATTGTGTGCCTTATCTGGAACACTAAGATAAATAAATGAACTTCTTGTTGTTAGGCACTTTATAATCAATAAAATATATTTTTAGAGTGGTGATAATTTAGAGCATCATGTAAGCTGTAGGAGAGGAAGACAGTAATATTTGCATACAAAATTTAAATTCTCATCTGCATGTTCATATAGTGCTTAACACCTAGCATTTTCCATATCCCTAAAATGACCACAAAGTTAGCACATACCCAGGGTGGAATATGAATTAGCAGGTTTATGAGCAATTGAGAGCAGAGCAGAAAGCCATTTGCTTACAATAATTCTTTTCACTTCCTTTTCAACAGAGAGAATATATATTTTATTGCTTTAGGATTTTATAATATCTACTTTATAAATTTAATAAAAAAATTTGTACCTGAAATATCTTTACTTTTTATTTTTTTTATTATTTTTCATTCACCCATTTAATCCCCCCAATTTTCTATATCCTTTGTGTGTAACTCTTCAAAAAGAGACATAACAAACCAAGTCAATAGTAAAACAAAAACTACCAAAGGTTTTTTCTTTTTTTTTTTGGTGGCGAACTAGTCAGGGGAATATATTACAGTCAAGGGAATTCACTTTATTGGGATATTTTATATTCACTATAGTTTGTAATGACTCAATTGTATAATCAAAGAAAGATTAATAATTTGTTTCATTTTAGCATGCCAAGAATCAAGCATTATAAAGTGATGAGCGTAGGACAAAACTACACTATTGAACTGGAAAAACCTGTAAGTAGCTATTTCTTTGATGAACTTTTTCTCTTGGCCTCCCAAAGCTACACTATAGAATGAATACAGAGAAGGTAGAAAAGCAGGTTTCTTTCTAGAGACAGTGTCTCCAAACAGCCACATCAGGGAGCCTTGAAGGTGGCAGAGATCCAGGGTGAGACGAGAGATGCAAGAGGAACCCAGTGAGGCAGAGTAGAAGATAATCTGCTTCTAAAAGTCTTTTCCACTTCTCTTTTTCTGTAATCCTTTACCAATATAATTGTTTCAAGGAGAGAATAATATGAAATGTCTACTTTATACCCTCCAATTTTAAATATCTCAATGTGCTTATCTCAAATGGGAAGACATCTGTGAATGCCTAGTCCTCTAATATTCACCACGCAGAAGTTTAGAAATCCCCTCTGAGTATTTCTTCAGATGGCCGCAGAAAAGTACATGCTTTGTCTTCAACACCTTTCCTACCCTGAGTTATCACGAAACTAGTGATACATCATGACCACTAGATACTATATTCGGCACAGAGCCAAGTTATTTATAACATCTAATTTAATCTTTACCCTGCCCTTAGGTAGACAACATTATGCCTATTGTCCAGGTGAGAAAACTAGTATTTACACTGGGCTCAACATGTATAAATGTGGCTTATGTTCCAGGATGCTGGAAAAAGAAAAAGAAAAAAAGGAATATAGCTCTGTGATATTAGGCTGCAGTGTTGGGATGACTGGGCTAGGAAAGATGTCCAAATATAATTTAAATGGAACTGGTAGGTCTTGAAGATAATTTATATTTTTCTTTTTTTGGGGAGAGATTTTCTTTTTTCTTTTTATTATAGGTGCATGCTTTCACCAGAGAGACAGAAAGCCAGAAATCACTCCCAGCGGGGGGTGGTCACATTACAATCCCTTCACTTCAACTCTCGTCTCAGGATCTTGGGCAGGCACACAGATGTGCTTGGCTTGAGTTTTAAGACACTAGGTCTGGGACTTCAACTGCACTTGACTATGTGGGAATCCAGTGACATAACCACTATGTCATCTACTGGTCCCAAAGATATTTATACTATTTTTTCCAAAGCTGAGCTTCTAGTTCCTCTGCCTCTCCAGGCTCATTGTGTAGATTAAATAGAAAAAGGGATAGTGTGGTTGAGTTTGTGTATCATGACCATAACCCTCACAGAAAATGGTGCTGTGAATTCATAGAACCCACTTACACCTTTGTCATAAATGCCTCCCAGAGCTTCTCAGTTCTCAGATACATGTTTGAATGGGGTTTTTAAAGAAATTGTAATGAAAGAGACCGAGAACTAGATTGCAGAGAACCAAGTGACTCGAAGCAATGATTTGGTAGAGTGAAGCATCCTTGCATCTAGTGAATGAGGGTTCATTTCTGTCACTAGCCCATACAGTTCACCCTGTAAGAAAAACTAACACCTGGATTATCCATGAACCTTTCACCTTCCCTACCTTTCAGCCAAACTGAAATTTTATGATTCTTCTTCAAGATTACCTGGGATATTTAGCTTGATTTCTCTAGCATAAGATTATTTGTTTAGGCGGTAACCCTGTAAGAAAAACTAACACCTGGATTATCCATGAACCTTTCACCTTCCCTACCTTTCAGCCAAACTGAAATTTTATGATTCTTCTTCAAGATTACCTGGGATATTTAGCTTGATTTCTCTAGTATAGGCGGTAGAAACACATTTTGATTACTCTTAGACAAATAAATTACTATATTAAAATGAGATATTAAAATGTTCTCAATTCTCTAGTATTAAGGGTTCTCTGGTTTTGAGCAGAAGAAACCAACTAACTTAAGGAAAAATGAATTTAAGAACATGTAATGACTGGAAGGTTAACAAACCTTTAAGAACTAGGAAGCAGCTACTGTATGAAGAACCATCTGATTAGGAATCTGCTATTCCTTGTTCCTCTCAAGTTAAATTTCAAGACAAGAGCATTTTCTGTCCTAACTGGAGACAAATTCTTATATTTTAATAGGATGAAGGCAAAATACCTGATTATTGTCCACTGTGTCCAGTGGGAAAGGGTAATTTCTCAATAGAGAATTGACACATAGTCAATTTGAAAGAAGAGTTAAGACATCTGGATAGGTAAAGCTATGGTCATGCAGTACACCACTGAATTAGGTTCTGGTATGATTTTTCTGAAGGTCAGGTAATACACGGTAAATGCCGTTGTATTTCAGTTGGGGTCTCTCTTACTCTATCATTATGTAAGTGACACTGAGCCGTCTCTCACTTTTTTTTTTTTTTAAACAGGTAACACTTCCAAACCTTTTTAGTGTCATTGATTACTTTGTGAAGGAGACTCGAGGAAATTTAAGACCATTTATATATTCATCTGATGAAAACCCTGGTATGTTCTTCACTTCACTGTTGTATGATAGGAAACAAAGCAACCCTGCAAATACTCTGTATATGATTTGAAATATCAGTCAGGTAGAAACTGTAGTTCAGTCTTTAAATTTATCCTTTTGGAAATAATTTAGTTACAAAATCTGGGAAAACAAGTGAGGTCAATATATACTTGTGGATAGAGATAGAACGGAAAGAAAAACTATGAGGTGTTTATTGTGAGTTATTATTCAATAACTTCATTTCATCATTCTATTTGGCTTTATCAACTAAATTCAGAGATAAGAGAAAATCATAATTATAGTGTGTCATGGAAACCATGGAATTTAAAGGGAAGATCTGTCAACAATGTCATACACTCCACCAGGACAGAATGGATGAGTATTAAGGAGAGAATGGGAATTAATCAGTAAGCGATAGATGAGCTGAGAGAGAAGTTTTATCCCACTATAAAGGCAGAATTTAGAGAACAAGATAACGAGTAATGAGTGAGTGGGTGGTGAGGAACAGAGCAGCAAGGAGGAGGAAGGTCTACTGAATGTCCTTGTGCCAGAAATTCTTAATTCTTGGGATAAATATGACCTTCTTGGAGTTTTTAATAAAGGAGATGGTATGAACTGAATAAATGATCCCAAATGTGATATATCTTACATACAGGTGTACTTTTCTTTCCTTTTTCATAAATTAAAAACTATTTTTAAAGTTTACATTCAATAAAATTCCCTATTGGTATTTTATGAGTTTTGACAACCACCACTACAATTAAGATACAGAAAGTTCCATCACCTCTAAAAAATGTCATGTTGTTCCTTGATAGTCAACCTCTCTAACAAAAACCCTTTGCAACACCTGTTTCCCATGCCTATAGTTTTGCCTTCTCCAGAATGTTATATAAATGGAATTGTAGTTTGGAACTTTTTTTTTTTTTGAGAGTTTTTTGCTATAGGGCGTGTGCACTTGCCAGACAGAGAGAGAGACAGACAGAAAGCGAGAAATCACCCCCCAGGGGGGATGGCCATGCTGCAATCCCTTCTCCTCCATTCTCCTCTCAGGATCTTGGGCACGCACACACACGCGCCAGGCATGAGTTTTAAGCCACCGGGTCCAGGACACGAACTGCGGTTGACTACGTGGGAATCCAGCGACACAGCCATTACGCTAACTGCTGGTCCCCATAGTTTGGAACCTTTGAGACTGGTTTCTTTTATTGACTGTAATGTCTCTGAGTTTCAAACATGTGTACATTACTAGCTAATTGCTATTTTATTGCTGAATAGTATTTTACTATGTGGATACCACCTTGCTTACCCATTTACCAAACTAAACGTATTAGATTGTCTGAATTCTTGTGAACAATTTTACGGTTCAGTAAATGGTCTATCTTTGTAAATGTCTTGTACATACGATAAAAATGTGTATTGTCATGTTGCAGGTTGGAGTGGTTTATTAAGTCAAGTAGGTCAAAAGTTGGTTGACAATGTTGTTTGGGTCCTCGGTATACTTGCTGCTTTCTATTCGTTCGACTGATAACTGAGAGAGATGTTGAATGTTTCATGTACTATTGTGAATTTTTTTTCCCTTTTCAGTTCTGTCCACTTTTGCTTCATGTATTTTGAATGTCTGTTGTTAGGGTGTACATTAGTTGTGTAACAAATTACCATAAATGTAGCGGTTTAAAACACATTTATTATTTCTGTTTCTGTGGGTTAGGATTCTATGTCTGGTTTAACTGGGTCTCTTGCAAGGTTGCATTTAAGGTGTTGTTGTCTAAGGTTAGGGTTCTTACCTAAGACATGACTGAGGAAAAGTCCACTTCAAAATTTACTCATTTTGAGAGGATTCATTTCCTTGCAGTTAAAGAATTCACAGCAGCTGGTTTCTGTGGAGCGGTATATTTGAGACAATAGAGGGGGGCAGGTGGCCAGTCTCAGAGCAAATCTGTTAGCAAGATTTTGTATAATGTAACACACTCATGGGAATAACTGTTGTTTATACAATGTAGCATGGTATTGATATCCTGTCACCTTTGCCATACAGTCTATTGATTAGAAGCAAGTCACGGATCCAACACACACCAAATAAGTGATGGGTTTATACTGGGTGTGAATACCAGGAAATGAGAATCATTTGGGTCACCTTAAAGTCTGTCTACTACCAGCTATATAAACTTTTAGGAATTTTATATCTTCTGGGTAATGGACCCTTTCATCTTTATGTAATTTTCTTTACCCTAAAGTATACACGTCTGATATTAATATGTCCTCTCTACTTTTTTAAAAAAAAGTTTGCAAGGTTGATTTCAAAGTTTTCACGCTTAAAGTAGGTTTCTTGTAGACACCATATACTTGATTCTTGTATTATTGAAAGTCCAATCTTAAAATTTGACTTTGAAATGTTCAGACTATTTACATTTAGTATGATTTTTGATATGGCTATATTTCTGTCTATTAACTTTTCTTCTTCTTCTTTTTTAAGAGCTTTTTGCCATAGGGTGCGCTTGCCAGAAAGACAGAGACAGACAGAGAGATTAAAAAGCCAGAAATCACCCCCCAGGAGGGATGGCCATGCCTCAATCCCTTCTCCTCCATTCTCCTCTTGGGATCTGGGGCACACACGCACACGCACCCAGCGTGAGTTTAAACCACTGGGTCTGGGACTCGAACCACGGCTGACTGCATGGGAGTTCAGCGACATAGCCATTACGCTAACTGCTGGCCCCTCTATTAACTTTTCTTTTCTCACCTGTTAACCCATCCTACCCTCATGGATAATCTAAATGCTTCTTAGTATTTCATTTTAACTTATCTGTTAACTTTTTGTCTATACCTATATTATTACTACAAACTCATTAAGTAGTCAGAGAAAAGAAAGAAGAAAAAACTTAATTCTACCTCCACCATCACCACCACCAAGCTCACTTTTCTTGGTTTTTCTGACCAGAAGGATGGATTTTCTCTGATTTTAGATGACATGCTGCCACAGCCACAGTGCAACACCTTGACTAGGAAACAGCCTTACAGCAGTGCTGAGAAAGAAAAATAGACAACAGAAAGAAATAGTCAAAAGTAGGCTGTTGAGGGGCTAGCTAATGGTGCAGTGGTTAAGGCATCCCATGGTGACCATGTGCTCAAATCCCGAGAGGAGAAGTGATTAAAGTGTGGTTATTCCCTGCTCTTTTCTTTCTCTTTGTCCCTCTCTGTGTCTCTTCTGCAAGCATACATGTCCTGTAGCAAACTAAAAATATAACAAAAAACTAAACCAAAAAAACCCCAAATGAACAAAACAAGACATTAGGGCTGAGATTTAAACTGTGGTCAGCCATGTAAGATACAGCCCCCACTGCACAGAACTTAAGCACAGTAATATGGGGCTGGCCCTGTGAAGTACTATATTTGCTTTAAAAAATAGAAAGATGATGGAGAGGTTGACTAGAAAGTAAATAAAAATGGAATTAGGACTTTCTAAGAAAAAAACAAAAAACAAAAAACAAAACTTTGACAAATAATCCTGAAGTTTTAAGGAGACATTGCAGAACAAATTGTTTCAGGAACTTGGACTTATGAGATTTTTCTTTCATCCATGTTAACCCCTGTCAGTATTCAGCCTTCTGCCATCTGCCATACCAGATGACAAGAGCGATAATGGAATTAAAATGATTAAAGATTTTTAATGATTTTCTTCCAACTTCACACATTAGCAGTTTAAACTAAAAACCACGTCAAAATATAAGAAGTAGGTAGTTGATATTAAGTTAAAGAAGAAGAAAAAATAATTCCTAGAGAAAAATTTATTAGCAACCAAGTCCCAGTTCTAGTATAAAATAATTAAAACCCAAGTGAGTATTTCGTACTTAATTATGTAACATTAACAAAACACATCATCAATGTTTTGGGCACAAGAAAAATCAACTCAGGTTGACAGTCAAGAACCACCACCTTTTTCTTTGATATATATATTTTTGATTAATCAAGTTTTTTCACCCACAATTTCTAGGCCAAGAATCCAACATAGAAGGGTGAAGCGAGAAAATGGAGAAAAATCTACACATTGCATGAAATAAATATAAAAACCTTCATGTATCTTGGAAACCTAAGTGAGATTTCACTTTGAAAGAAAATTACCTCTACTCTCCTGAATCTGATTACTGAGGCGCTCACTTAGACAAGAGAATTCTACATCGTAGCATATGATTTTTTTTTTTAAATCAGAATAAAACTAATTCACTGGGAAACTGTAGACTATGGCTGTGAAGATAACTTATATATATATACATTCTCATGTACGAAGGTGAAAATATTTTATATATACATATATATATACATACACACACACATACTATGTGTGTGAAAATAGACTCTATACTTTTTCTATCCTTTTAATTTTTTAACCAAAAAATTATTTTATTTTAATGGATATAGGGCACATACGTTTGCCAGATAGATAAACTACCCCTCAATAGGGAGTGATCATGATGCAATACCTTCTATTTCTGCATCACGTTGAGATTTTGTGCACACATGCACTGGGCATGTTTTTCAAGCTACTAGGCTGGGATGTAAACTGTGATTGGTCATGTGGGATCTAGCTCTCTTAACCACCAGGCTAGAGGGCCAACTCTAAAATGTATTCATTTCCTTAGAGAGAGAAATAGGAGGAGGGAGGAGGGGAAAGAGACAGAAGAACAAGCATCCTGGACAGGGTCTTCCTATTGCCATCTTCCCTCTGCCTGTAGCCAGTCAGATCAAGGGTACACCTGGCATGTTCAAGTAGACCTAGGAAGTGAACCTGAAACCTTCCCACATGGCTCCAGCATTGCATAGCAGTGCTCTTACTGTTTGCACCATATATATATATTTTTTTTTTTGAGAGGTTTTTGTTACAGGTCACGTGCACTCGCCAGAGACACAGAGAGATAGAGAGATAGAAAGCGAGAAATCACCCCCCAGGGGGGATGGCCACACCGCAATCCCTTCTCCTCCATTCTTCTCTCAGGATCCTGAGCGCACACACACACACGTGCCTGGCGTGAGTTCAAACCACCAGGTCCAGGACTTGAACCACAGTTGACTACATGAGAGTGCAGCAACATAGCCATTTACACTAACTGCTGGTCCCTGTTTGCACCATATTGACTGGGCCTATAGAGTACTTTCTAAACAGAGTTTTTATTTTCCTAGACTTCAATTAAGTACATTCTCTATACAATTTCCACAACAGATTTTCTAGTTCTCCTAAATTCTACCAATTCTGAAAATATCTCACTAGGTTTTCCTAAAATCTGACTTAACTCATTTGTCAAATGTAAGTTACTTTACTTAATTAGCTAGAAGCCAGAGATGTAAAATGTACCTGGGCAAAGCTCTTTCCCAATGGAAATACTCTGCAATGTTTTTAATTCCTGGAAATAAATAAAATGCATCCTTTTCCATGTTTTTCCCTGATGTCATCTTTTGCAAGCTAAAAATCAACCCAAACTTTTTTTTACAAGGATGATAAAGGCAATATTACCTTTGGTTCTCAAGTGTGATACAGTTTGATCCTGATTATGCTCATCCAGAGTTCCTTCAAAACACTGGTCCCTTAACCCCAGAATAGAGCCACTGAAACAAAATCTCAAGAATATATGTATGTGTGTGTGTGTGTGTGTATGTGTGTATGTATGTGTGTGTGTGTGTGTGTGTGTGTGTGTATATATATATATATATTTATTTATTTTTTTGGAGGTTTTTGCTATAGGGCAAAAATATCTTGGCAGAATGAGAGCAAAATGTAGATATTTTCAGGAAACAAATTATAAATGATGCCACCAGTAGTCTCACAGAATGAAATTCTAAAGAAAGTATTTCAAGTAGAAATTTATCCCAAATGCTAAGTGTCTATCTTCTGTTCAGGCTGATAAGCAACAGAAATTTCTCAGTTTTGGAGGTTGAGAAATCCAAGGTTAACATGCTGGCTGACTCGATGTCTAGCAAGAGCCCATCTTCTCACTGTGTCTTCATATGGTAGGGGCAGAATCTGTCCAGTCTCTTTATATGGGCTCTGTTCCAATGACCTAATTTCCCAAAGGCCCCACCTTCTTATACCATCGACATGAGGGTTAAGATTTCAACATAGGCATTTTGGGGAAACATATACACTCAGACTATAGTAAGGTTTGAATAAAAAATAAGCAAAGAAGATGGTATACATACAAACACTGAGTATATAAACAAAAATAAAGTATAGATTGAAAGACATTAAAGTACCTGACAATATAATTAAAAAACATAAAACACATGACGATAGTTTTGACAACAGTTTTAAGTTGGGAATTAGAATGTTGTTCTTACATTGTGTCTGCATGATAAATAACCTCAAAACTTGGTTGTATAAACAATCCATTTCCATGAATTTGGTGGGTTGGAAATTTGGCTTAGAATAGCACAAAAATAGCAAGGATGGCTTGCTATTTCTGCTCCAAGTCTAAGGTTTAGAATCTTTGGAAAGCTTACTCACATGTCTGACGCCTCATGCTGGCTGTAGGCTGGTGACCTGTTTTTCTCCATATAGGCTAGTTTGGGCTTTATCATAACATACCTGAGTTCCAAGAATGAGATTTCTGAGAGCAAGCAAGAGAGAATGAGAGCCAAGCAGAAATGATACAACCACTTATTACTTAATGTTGGAAATCTTGAAGGGGATTATAGGGTGGCATGCTTCTAGAAGAGTATGTAGGACTGAAAATCTTGCTGTGCTGGCTCCATAACACAGCGGTTAAGGGAGCTAGATCCCACATGACTATGGTATGAGTCCTGGCTCTGGTGGCTTGAAAAACAAGCTGGGCACTTTTGTGACATGACCATGGTCCTGATGGGATGGTGAAAATGGATGGGGAATTTCAATGTGACTACATCCTATTAAGGGGTACTTTCTCTCTCTCTGGTTAGTGCACATGCTCTCTGGCAATAAAACAGAGAGAAAGATAGAGGGAGAGATAAAATATTGCTGGGGCCATATGGGGGAAATATGACCTGTCAAAAGGTAAAGGGAATGATTAACTTCTATCTTAACTAATCTAAATGTGCATGATGTAATATAGAACAATTATTAAAGGATAGAGACTAGTATAGAAAAAATATATATCTAGTAGCTCAGGAAAATAAGAACCAAATAATTTATTTTAAGAAATAATTTAACTAAGAAACTGGTAAGCAGGTTTTGGGAGAACTGAAAACATCCACAGGGACATAACTGCTAAGAAGAAAGTGGGATTATTATTAGAAGCTTTAAGATACTCTCAAGAATGCCAGAGGGCCAGGCGGTAGCATGGTGGTTAAAGTGGCTGGATCCCATATGGCCGCCTGTGTAGTTCAAATCCAGAAATCACCCGATGGCTTGAAAAACATGCTAGGTATGCGAGATTAGACTTCAAGGTAAAATATATTACTGAGATATATTTCATATTAATAAGGTACAATTCACCAGACAGAGAAAATGGTTAAAAATTTACACATTAAATTTAGCCTCAAAATAAATACATAGAGAAATAGACTAATCAAAATCAAAATGACTTTCAACGCACCTCTTTTAGTAACTGATAGAACAGTATATTAAAAAGTGACAATGGGGGCCAGCAGGTGGTATAGTAGTTAAGACACTGGACTCCCACATGGTCAATTGCAATTCATGTCATGTACCTGGAGGCATAAAACTCATGCCAGGCATATGTGTGTGCATGCCCAAAACCCTGAGAGGAGAATGGAGGAGAAGGGATTCTGGCATGGCCATCCCTGGGGGGTGAGTTCTCAGTGTCTCTCTGTCTTTCTGGCAAGTACACATACACTATAGCAAAAAAAAAAAAAGAAAGAAAGAAAGAAAGAAAGAAAGAAAGAAAGAAAGAAAGAAAGAAATTGACCATGATACAAAAGATTAAAATGGCATAATTAACAAACTTGACCTAATACAGAAACATGCAACACATTTCCCTGAATGATCACGGAACACATTTTGTTTTCGATTGTATCAAAATTACTATAAAAATGATATGGATTGTAAAGTGAGTCTGAAGTAAATTCAAAGGATTATATCAGAAAGAAATTCTTTTTTGTGACCCAAATTCAATTAAGCTCAAAATTAAAATGAAAAAAAAAAAAATCCATGTTTGTTAATTAAGAAATACTCTCCTGAAAAAGAAACAAGGATAAAAAAATTAATAAAAATTGAAAATATTTTAACTAAAAATCAATAATACTATATATCAAAACTTACAGAACATGGCTACAATAGTCATTAAAGTATGATGTAATTATGTTATATTACAATAATTTAAAAATAACTTTATAATGCATGTGCTTGGAAGGAGTTTGAAATAATTATGGTAACCCAGCTAAAGAAGTCAGAAACAAAAACAGTAAATGAACCCCAATAAAAAACAGAAAAGTAATATAAATAAGAACAGGTATCAATGGAATAGTAAACAAACATATACTAGAGAAGATCAACAAAACCAAAATTTGGATCTTAGGGCAGGTGGTATAATGCTTAAGGCACTGAACTCCCACATGGCCGATTGCAGTTTGAATCCTGGACCTGGAGTCTCTTTTGCTCTCTCTCTCTCTCTCTGGCAAATTAGAAAATAATAATAAATATAATTATAATATTAAAAAAGGAAAACACTAAACTTGTCTTAATTACAAAAAAAAATTCAGAAATATGTGCAAATAATTTACAGGAATCTTCGGAGAGGTTATTAAGCTCCTAGATACCAAAGCAATATGAAGAAATCAATTATATTTTATATATAATCAACAGGAAATAATGTGGGCTAGGTAATTTGGATTACCATTCTCACTTAAAAATGTTTAGGAAGTTTCTACAAAAAACTTTTTTTAGTTTGAGTTTAGCTTTAGGGCATGTGTGTTCATCAAAGAGATTCAGAAGACAGAGAGAGTGAGAAATCACCCCCCTTGGGGGATGGCCACGTTAGAATCCCTTCTCCTCCAGTCTCCTCTCAGGATTTTGAGCACACATGCTCAAGTGTCTGGCATG